ACTCCTCTGAACTTTCAGCATAATAAAACCTAGGTTTTTACCTCTATAATTTCTGTGTTGTGGTAGATATATTTTAGCTGCAGTTACCTACCACATGAATTCAAAAAGGAGATATTTTTCTCATAACGCAACCATCTTCCTTCTCTTTACTATCACTGATCCCAAAAATACACCTGTAAGGCTGTAATTAGGAGCAGGCCTTTGATTGTAATGCCATTTTAATAGGCAGTATTACAAGAACATGTAGAGTTGAAATGTTATTTGAAATATATATAATAATCATACCTATGGCCAGTTATCTCATTTGGTTAGGGTTTCATGCTGCCAACAGAAGTCAAAATCTCAAGTTTGATCTTGAATGATTAAATTACCACATATTGCAGAGGACAAGTTGGCACAGAACATAAGATCAAATTAAATTCTTCTGCAAAGAAATTAAATTATTTGGAGGAAGGGAATAACTTCTAAGCTGTTAAGAGATCTATGTTTAAACAGTTATAAATGCAAACTTAACTAGTTTCATTAAAAATAACTTAAAAAATATTTCCAGTGTCTGTCCTATATAGGAAGACCCCCTTCCTACTTTGGCCTTTTCTGTAGTGGCAGCCAGTAGTTAGTGGCAATCTCCCTCAACCCCCCTGGAAGCTTTTGCTTCAAGGGGCCCAGCATAAATTGAATTTAACTGGGGAGTCATTTAAAAACCCTAAATGGTCAATTTATATGCTATTATACCTGATAGCTTTTCTCTATTCTTTGGTCATCAACTACATCCTAGACCTGGGTCAGCTGTCTTGCAAATGTGTGCTACGCATGGATCACAACAAAATGCCTCAAAAAACATTCTGTACTCATTGCGAATCACCTATTGTCAGGTAAGAAAATGAAAAGGCATATATGATACAACTCTAAATTGCTTTTTAAAAACTTTAATAATCTCATACAGCGGGAAGAGACTTAAAAGAGGTCAACTGGTTCCATTTGAGACTATATAGATGAATGCTTAAACTAGCTAAGTCCATCCATTTGAGATTTTTAAGGCTCTCTAGTTATACAGACATATATAGCTATACAGACATCACTAGGATGCATACGGGATTATTATTTTTTAAATATAATCTTAATAGATGAAGGAGGCTGACCTAGGTGGTTAAGATAAAAACTTTCAAAATAACTTGATTCCTAGCTATATTCCCATGAAAAGTAAAACCAAAATCATACCTACACTCCTTTTCCCAAATTAAACATTCATGATGCTCTTGGTTACTATATGAAAAGACAGAGGCATGTGAAATCCCCAAGGCAGTTTGCAACAAAGAGAATAGTTTCTTCTCTTTAAATTCATTAGGAGCCCCCCAAATTACCATACTACTAAAAGATAGTTCATTCCCTTGAAACTAGTAGAATGACACCCAGTGTGAGAAACTGCTTTCTATCTGCAAAAAAAACATGAATCATTTTCATTACTGATTTTGCCTAAAAATGTGCAATGATCTGCCTTAATGAAGTTGGAAGAAGAAACCAAAAAGTAAAAAATCCAAATAATTATCTTTTTTAGAGATATACTCCACATGTTTTGAATTTGACAACTGTGGCTACCAAAGTCCTAATCAATCTTAAAAACTGTCAACTTTTTTTTTTAAATTCACTATATTTTCCCTCCACTATCACTGTGGTCAAAGATGCCACATATTGTAAGAGCAAGAAAAGCTGGGTTTTAGTATTGATTTAGTAGTTCTTGGGTAAGGTTTCTTGCTTTTTACATTTCCCCTTATCAGTATGATTTAAAGGCAGTGGGAATGGTTATTTTTGGAAATACAAAGTGTTGCTGGCAGCAGGGCTAGCAGTATAGTTGAGAGTGGGGGAATGTTGCTGTTTCTGCTGTTTTTCTTCAAATTCAGGCACCCTTCTAAACCTAAAGGGATCATGTAATTTAGTTATATATATGTTGTATCTACAAAGATAATGAATACTTATATTCCTTTTTTTTTTTCTTTTTAGGCAGTTGGGGTTAAGTGATTTGCCCAAGGTCACACAGCTAGTAAGTGTCAAGTGTTTGGTCTGAGGCCGCATTTGAACTCAGGTCCTCCTGACTTTAGGGCCGATGATCTATCCACTGCGCCACCTAGCTGCCCCCTGAACATTTATATTTCAAAATGACCAAAGGCATCCTTTCTGAACTTTCTATGCTAGGAGTTCTTATCCTTTTTTTTTTTGTATTATGGACCCCTTTAGCAGTTTGGTGAAACCTATGGACTTTTCTCAGAATAATGCTGTGAAATGCATAAAATAAAATACACAGGATTATAAGAAATAGCAATAATATTGAAACAGCTATTAAAATATAAAAACAACAACAACAAAAAACCCAACAAAACCAAGTTCACAGACCCCAGGCTGAAATGCTTGTTCTGTGCCTTGTACAGCTGCTGTTTTTCTCCAAATTTAGAGGACTACAAGTTTAAAATTTTACATGGCAGAAAGTAATTATTCATGAACAGACGGGGAAAAATCAATTTTTAAGGCCAGGTGCATAGGTCAATATAGGCTTCTTGATTTCCCCTTCCCCACATCTCAAAAAAAATCCACATCTTCATTCATTTTCTTCTCTTTTGTTTAAGTCTTCTGCTTAAGTTGAAGAGGATAACAGTCCATCTCCTTGCCAAGGTTATCTCTTCCACTTGTGCCTGTGATCTCCTCCCCTCTCCTCCAATCTCTTTTGAAAGCTTGCCCAATCATTTATTGCCTCTAGCTCCTATTGATATTCTTTCCTCGTTTCCTGGCAGTTCCTGTTTACTACAAACATGCTTAGACCTCTCCTAGCTTTAAAACAAAACAAAACAAAACAAAACAAAACAAAAGAAATTTCCCTTTAACTCTGTTACTCTCAAGCTACTCTCTTATACTTCTTCCCTCATTCATTACTAAACCTCTAAGTAAAAATTTCATAATTATCTTCTAATAGCCTTTTTTTAAAAAGTCTTTCATCCTTCTTAGCCTTCAAGCAGAATGTGACCACGAAGGCAGAATACTTACTGATCACTTGCAAAAATCTTGAAGGATGGCTTAAGACTTGACTGGGAAGAGGAGGAAGAAGGTTTTGGGAAATTTTGTAGAAAGAAGTTATGCTTTGAGTAGGGAATGAATAAAAGAATGACATGAATGAAGTCTTGGAGGACAGAAAAAGCATGAGGGATAGTGAAGAGACTGGACCAGAATATTTATGTAGGCAATCATTAAGAAAAACTGGAAAGGTAGGTTTTAGCTCCATTATGAAGGGCCTTGAATAACAGGGTAAAGAGTTTAAATTTCTTCACGCTGAAAAAACGATCAAATGAATCTCCACTGCCTACTGACATAATGAAATAAAGTCTGGGGAAGACAAATAAGGTATCATGTGAAGAATGGATTGGAGGGAGAAAGACTAGGCAGGAAAACTGATTAGGAGAGCACTGTTGATTTTAATGGCATAAAGTGCGAATAGAAAGAAAGGATCATGGATCTAGAATTGGAAAGGTTTTTGGATGTGATCTAGTATAAAACCTCCTAATTGTTCAAATGAGGAAATGGAGGCCCAGAGAAGTTACACAACTTGTTGAAGGTTGCACAGATATGAAGAAATCTAGGTCTTTAGATTCTAAAATACAATGTTCTTTTGATATATTGGAAATAGCACTGGTTCTTGCAGTCAGAGGATCTAAGTTCAAATGCTGCATCTAAAGGTTACTGTCTTGTCACTTAACCTCTGTATGCTCCAGTTTCCTTCTTTGAAAAATGAAAGGACAGGATTAGATGGCCTCTGAGGTCTCCTCCAGTTTCAAGTCTATGAGCTTGTAACCCTGCTTCTTCAAAGCACTCGTATAAACTAGGAGATCATCCATATTCGTGAGCACCATGAAAAATCTTTGTGGTTTAAAAAATATTAAGTGTTAAGAGTAATATAGTATTTTAAATAACTGTCTTAGAATGTGTACTGATAAGGAAAGAATATTTCAATGCTGGGAAAAAGACAGTTCTCACATGAGAATCATCATATTAACCCTCAGTGATTCATGCTAGTGTCATGTCTTACAGCTTTTAAACAATCCATCTGTATTCTGAAAGCCTTGTCTCTCCTCTATCATTTATTTATTGTCTAATGTTGGACTTAATTCACTTAACCCTTCCAGAGTTCGATAACTTCCCGTGTAAAATGGGAACATCTGCACCTTATGTGCCTGTAGTTTAAGCACATCATTTCTTGAGATCTCTTCAATCTCTAAAATCTTTCATTTCTTGCTTGCAGAGTCAGGGTAATGTGTTTCCTGTGATCAGAGGGGCAACACAGACAATATACCAGTTTGTATATTAAATTAATATTATTCTTAGAGGATTAGAAGCTGTCACTAGTATTGTGTTTTAACTATGATTAGAAAATGTTTCTTGTTCATAAGGTCTTGGACATATAAATACATCAATGTGTCCTAAAAATGGAAGAAGTTCTGGGAACCAAAGTCTTAACACTAATTGAAAGTACTGAAAAGGTTTTCATTCTATTCTGCTTCTTTACTAAGATTATTTCTCTTAAGGGATTCCTAACTTACCATGGGACAATGAAATTATACTGTGAAATAAAAGAATATTGAAGAGTGCTCCAATCTTTCATAAACAACATAAGTTCTATCATTTATTTGAATGAAATAAATTTCTTTCTTGGTGTTTTCAGCTCCCTAGTAGAAAATGCTGCTACATAAATCATCAGGTGCCAATCAACTGCTCTCTCCAACCCCGTCCAACCTTTTTGATTTCACTTCAAAAAACTTTTCCCTCCAATAAATCTCATTAAATTTCCTTTAAATTCTTAAATATACCAAATCATAAATGACTTAGAGAAAAACGATCTTTTCTCAACACCATGCATAACTTTTCTCCTATATAAATTAGGTTTGAGGATAAAAATAAATGACAAAATTGTCCCCACAAAGTCATGCTGTTTTCAATTATTTGATGTGATAAATACATACCTCTGCTTCCATGTGATAAGCATTTTCTATTCTACTAAAATCCTTTGTCACAGTTATATTTTTTGCCTGAAACAGAAAGTAGAACAGTATAATTCTTAAAGCCAATAAAACAAACTAAAAGTTTAGCTATTGTATGCTATTCCTCTGAAACAAAATAGAAACCTGAACTTTGGATAACTTACTTAAAAAGCAGGAATGTAGGATATCAAAGGCCCAAAATAAGGAGGATATTCTGCTTAGTTTAAAAAAAATCACCTAAAAAGAGCAGAAGTCAAATATATTCATTCTTTTAAAAATGTACTGGAAAACTATTTCTTAATAACTGCCACTTTGACTTCACCACATAGACACATTAAAAAATTCAAGTGACATAGTGTATGCCTAAGGAATTTTATACAGTAAAAAATATTTAAATGCATTGAGATCTAGTTTTTAAGTAAGGTAAATATACAGGGAATCTTTTTATAGAACAGAAAAAAACACCCTTAGTTTCTTTTTTGCATTCCTTAATTTTTCATATATTATACTGTTCAAAGTATATATGGCATAATAGATGGTACAGTTTAGTAATATCCTCTAAAAATATCCTGATCCCTATTCTCTGGGAAACTGTACAGCTAAGGGAAGAGGGGAGAGAGACAGACAAATGCTAATATGTAATTATTAGCTTATATCTTCTCTTCTTCCTCTTTGCACCTCCCTAAGGTTTTCTGCTGCCCTTTTTTGACACTGCTCTACAACACTTCTACTAAATGAGCGCTACTGTTTCTTATATTTGCACTCGGTTTATTTATATAGTTTTTAAGTTGGAAGGGGTCTCTAATTCAAACTTCTTATTCATCAAAGCTGCCTCTAATATTCATTCTAAGCAGATTTCATCTATATAAAAATGTTAAGTAGATGGAAAGGAACTCTGTACATTGTGATCTACCCAAAATACTACAACCCTCCTTAAAGAGACCTTACTGCAGTTACATTTTTTATCTTTATCTTTTTAAATGGTTCTCACAGTGCCTGACAAAACAGTAGCTATTATCATACTTAATATTTTTTTTAAAGTACCTGAGATATAACCATCTCTACTCTTCTACAGCCTAACCAACCAACTGTACTGTCTGAAACCGGGACCAAAAATATTTACTTTATTTCCTACTACTTAATACATGTTTAGGAGAGGCTGTGTTTTTTTTTTTAACTGTCCTCTCCATGTGAGTTCTATCCTTTTGTTCATGTTATTAAGTTAATTAAATTAAGTTCCTCTTAGTGAATTTTCCTCCTATGCCCAATTTACTCCTATTTCAAATCTTACTAACCTTCAGTGTCTACTCAGATCTAACCCATAAGGCTTTCTTCCCTTACAGAACATTTATTTATCTATTTGGAAGACAAATATAGCAAATAGCTATATCAAAGGTTGTGAGGATCAAAAATTTAACTGATAAAGGAAATCCTTGGAAATAGCAGATTTGAAATGTGATGTTTCACTTTCTTTTCACCGTACACTCTGCAAAGCAATCTTGGGTTTTTTTTTTAATATTTCATACAGGACCAGATTTTGTTTTTACAATATTTTAATGCTATATTGAAATGTAGCTGTTTTCAGAATTCTGTATTTTCAGCTTGTTCCTTCTCACTTTCCAATGCCCTCCCTTCTTTAACTGCCTGCACTAGCACTTATTAGGCATTAAAAAAAAAAGCCACAGGCACACTTTTCGTTAGAAAGTAAGAAGCATAGGGCTACATAGGATAAGCTTATTTTGGCTATCATAGCAACTACTGTGCCTCTGTCACTTATTTTTGAAGGTTACTTGACTGGTGTGAAAGTTATTTTTTATGTAATTGCTTAAAGTTAACTATTAAGGAAACTTTCAGCTTCCTTAAATTGTTTAAAAATGACTTTTGGGCAGTATAGCTATGGGATAAAAGAGGTTTCTTTTCTCTATCTTTAACAGACTTTGAAAATTAATTACATATTAAATAATTTTTGTTGAATGAACAAAAACTTTAGCATAATATATTTATGGTATATTAACTGAAATACTGTATAAAAATCAATCTTATCTGAAAAACTCCCAATTCTTAATGGCTTTATATATTTAAGAACACTGCCATCTTGTGGCTTTGGGCAAAATTGTTAGAAAATAACATTTAGATTTTCTCCTATTTGATTAAACTGCATGCCTCAAATATATGATGGGGTGGAAATCTAGCATTTAAAAAATAATTTCATAGGAAGACTACTGGAAGTAATTTTAATGTCCATGACCCACTTACTAAGTGCTTTGGCTCATATGTCCTACTTAAAAGCATTTTTTCCTCTTTTTTATGACTGCAAGTTTTCAAGAGGAGTTATCCGTTTAATTTTTAATCAGAATATGCTTTAAGAAGATCAAAGAAGAGTTTTTTACTTCAGTTCTTGAGCCTGCTGTTCATATAATTTTCTCCTAGAAAAGTTATCATTTTAATCATGAGAGCCCCAGGAACAAATTTTTTTTTTTGTAACACCTTAAGAGATGTTTTACTTTTGATGTCTACCCACATAGCATATTTAAATGTCTTTTTTTCCACCTACTCTGCCTTCCAGTTTGTTAGGTAGACAATGGGGACTACACAATATAATAATAATGGTAAATAATCTGGAACTCTAATTTCAAATTAAAACCAAATAGCTACATCATCAACAAATATTCATTGAGGTCCTACTATGCACAGGCACTAAGAAAGACAATGGGGAATATAAAAGCATATAACATTAGATTTTTTACTTAGAAGGACTTCTCTTCCAGAGATACAGATAAAACACATACATAAAAAAGATAAGTAAAACTGCAAGGTACCATGTTCTAAATGTCAAATATGTGGTACAGACCATAAGTGTTCCAGGAGTTCACTGGTAGTATACGTTGTATCTTGTACTGAGATTACAGAACGACTGCTAATAAACAAATAAATAAGCAAAAGTAAATTCTGAAGCTGATCTACGAAAAGGGTACTAGACTAGTATCAGAAGACCTGGGTTCCATTCCCTCTAGACAAACATCTCTCCATCCATCTATCTATCTATCTATCTATCTATCTATCTATCTATCTATCTATCTAGTTCCTAGACCTCAGGTTAAGAATACCTATTTTATAGGATCACAGTTCTGGAGCAGGGAGACCCTTCTGGAGTCATCTAATTAATCTCTTCACTGCAGACTGGAAAAGTCATTTCACTTCCTTGAGTCCCTTTCCTTCTCTGTAATATGAAGGCAATATTTTTTACTATTTCCTTTACAGACTTTAGTAGTATTACTACTAGTACCATGAAAGTGATCACATAAATTAATATATGCAAAGTATTTTGTAACCATAAAGCACTACATAAATGAGTTATTTTTATTAGAAAACACTAACATTTTTCATCACAGATGATAAAATTAAAATGGATATATGACATGAATATTAAACATCCTACCACTAAACAATTAGAAGGCAATCAGATCATGTAACTTTTGCAGATATGGTTGGGGGTAAAATATTAACCAAACAAGCAAAAGAGGTAATTACAAAAAAGAAAACACATAATTTTGATTATGTTAAATTGAATAGATACTGCAGGAACCAAATTAATGCTGCTAAGATAGGAAGGCATTCAGTCTCTGCTAAGGATCTGATATTGGAAACATAGGCAACAGAAATATGTAAGACCAAAGGTCATCCCCTAGTAGGTAAGTGGTCAAAGGATGTGAACATAAAAAATAGTTCTCAAAAGAATTGAAAATTTTTAAACAGTTATATGAAAGAATGTTCCATATCATTAGTAATGAGACATGCAAATCAAAACAACTCTGAGATTTTACCTGATACCCAGCAAATTAGAAAAGAGGTTAAAAATTGGAAATGGTCAACATTGGTAGGGGAGAAGGTAAAAGGAAACAAGCATTTATATGGCATCAACTACTATATGCCAGTCACTGTATATCATGCTTTACAAATATTATTCTCATTTGATCCTCACAAACAACCGTGAGAAGTAGGTGATATTATTATCCTCATCTTACAGTGGAGGAAGCTGAAGCAAACAGAGGTTAAGTAACTTGCTCTGGGTTACATAGTTAGTTAAGTGTCTATGGTCGGATCTGAACTCATGTCTTCCTAATTTCAAACCCAACACTTTATCCACTGTGCCACCTAGTTACCTTTAATATTGGAAGGGTTGTGGAGAGACAGGTATACTAATTCACTGTTGGCGGAGCTGTGAATTGATTCAGCTGTACTCTATCAACCATTCTGGAAAGCAATTTGGAACTATTCAAAGAAAGTGACTAAAATATTCATATCTTTAACCTAGAGATCCCACTGTTGGCATATACCTGCCTTGCCCTCTCCTCCTCTACCTAGAAGGAGGTTAATAGTAAAAAGAAAGGCTTTCTATACACCACAATATTTATAGCAACAGTTGCTATATGTATATAATTCTGAAGCAACAAACTGCACTATAGCAAAGCATTGGTAACAAAGCAGATGCTAATCAAGTGGAAATTGCTAAACAAGTTGTAGTACATGAATGTAATGGAATATTACTGCGCTGGAAGAAACAGTAGGATGAATACAGAGAAGTTTGGGAAGACTTATATGAATTGATTCAAAGTGAAGTAAACAGAAAAAGTCAATCAAGCCAATCAAGAAGCACTTATTAAGTGATCATTATTGCCAACTGGGCAGCAAGGTCACACAGTGGATAGCTTACCAGGCTTGGAGTCAGAGATACTCATCTCTTCCTTAGTTCAAATCTGGCCTCATACACTTACTAGCTGCGTGACCCTGAGGAAATCACTTAACCCTTTGTGCCCCAGTTTCCTCATCTGTAAAATAAGCTGGAGAAGAAAAAGGCAAACTACTTCAGTATCTTTGCCAAGAAAACCTCCAATGGGGTCATGAAGACCTGGACTTGACAGAAAAAGACTAAACAAAAAAAATATGCCAGCTACAATGTTGAATGCTGAGGATATAAAGTAAGTAAGGCAAAAATCTAGTTCCTGCCCTCAAGGAGCTAGTATTCTAGACAATATATTCAATGACAG